CAGTTCAGTAACCTTTTCTCATTCGGAGAGTATCGAGAATAAATGCGGAACTTGTCGAATAAATTACATAAGTCGTTCAGTATCTTTTACTTTACTGGTTCTTTGTGGGTCTCTGGAAAGTTCGCTGCACTGGCAACTCACTTTATCCCCACACCCCCTTTGAAAATCCACCTCTCTGTCTTATGAAATTGTGCAACTTTTTGTCTGACTCGTTCTAAAACGGAAAAACACGTTTACAAGCCTCCAAAAAGAATCTGTGTTTGTTAAACGTGCTTTAATATAGCTCGTTTTATTAGCAAGTATTGGCCTCACACCTGGTACTAGCAGATGCACTTTGAGAAAACTAATATAATGTATTCTATAAGAAATTTCAGCGAATTATTAAGTTGCATAGAAAATAAAAATACAGTGCTTATGCACTATAAAATAATCAAAATAGCCACGCTTTACTCTATAACTTTGCTAAATAAATTCTATGAATAATTAAAGATATGTTTTTAAAAGTCTTCAGTCTTAGCTTCCTACCATATTCCGGTTGATTGCTATTTATAAAGTTGGATTAAATGTTTAACATTTGTCACTTTTCTAGTTTCTATCAATTTTTCTCTGTGTTCGGTACTTGCTTCTTACCATATTCTCGATTTTAGCCGCTTTCGCCCGGCGATCGTATTTGGTAATCAGCAGCAGAGGCAGCAACAACAACTGCGATGGCCAAGTTCAGTGGCCTCGAAGTGTGTTGAAACTGTTTTGGCCAGCTTTTTGATGGCTGGGATATGATTTGTTCTCGTGTGTCTCACCACTCGATTGGCCAGTAAAACTGGGTTAAGCGTGGTCAGGTAGATCCCAAAATTGTTAAATTCATAAAGCTCGATGAGGCTGTGAGGAAATCTCTATCCCATTTCCAAATTGTTTGTGCTGGATTTTGGGGGAACGATTGCCACACTATGGCGGCACTATGATAAGTACAAGAAAATGCAATTAACCGGCCAGAAAATCAAATGTCAATCACGTAGTTTGTCGCTCTCCAACATTTCAATGACTTTGAACTTTTGTTTGCGCTGGTTTCTCGTAGTTGTTGTAGAGCATTAACATATTGATTGTTGGCGTGACCCATTTGTTTGGGGCCCTCGAGAGCGGCCCACGCCACTTCCACTTTCGTTGGCTTTCTTTGTCCGACGGATCGATCGCGGCTTAATCAAATATATATATATATATATATATATCGTGAAGCCTCTCTACCGAAGCCCCTGAGATCGCCAAGTTTTTCCCAACCAGTTTGGAGCTTCGTTCTCGCTTGGTTCTCGGGGCCTGGCTTTCATAAAAAGTCTTTGGCCAACTTTCTTGGGCTTCATTCGCGCTCGTCGTCACCATGAAAGCGGTTCACTGCGCGATTTTCGTCACCATACTGGCCACCTTTGGCCATGGTTTGCCCACGCAGTTGGAGGACGAGAGTCAGGGATCCTTTGCCGGCAAGGTTTCCCAGCTGATTGCCCTGCAGCTGCTGAAGTTCAACAAGGACATCGATGCCAACCAGGTGCACTCACCACTGGGAGTGGCTTCCATTTTGGCTGTCTTGGCGGAGGCTTCTGAGGGTGATACCTACGCGGAATTCCAGCAGGTCTTTGGCTACCCCAAGGATCGGACTCAGCTGAGGGATGCCTACAAGAGAATCCTGGGCAACTATCAGAATAGGGATGCTGCTGTGGCTTTGCCCTCCTTCCAAACTTGGTTGTACATCTACCGGAACTCTAGTGCCCGGGAGGAGTTCAAGGATTTGATCGAGAAACACTACTATGTGGATGTCAAGGATATCAGTCGGCAGGAATACGATTGGAATGAGCCCAACACCTCGTTGCAATTGTCAGAGGAAAAGGACAATGCGGATTCAACCGAGGGCAGCACCGAACAAAGTAACAGCAAGGATGTCATTGGATTCGAGACCCTCAAGAGGATTAACCTGGACGATGAGGATATCCCTGCCATTCCAGCTGATGGCTATGGCCAGGAAATCATCGACAAAGAGGCCTCCAAGTTCGATCGCGACATAGATGACAAACAGTATGTGGAAAAACCAGTTGCCCAGGCTGAGGCCGACCAACTCCAAAAAGAACAGCAGCCTCAGGCCACCACCACAGCAGAATCGGATTCGGAATCTCAGCCTGAGGCCACCACTGTGACTGTGGAAAAACAGGAAAAACCAGACATGGCAGCCGAGGAAAATCCAGCCGAGAAGCAGCAGATTAAGCGCAGCGACCAGGAGGAGAGCCAGATCAAGAACCTGGAGGAGAACGAGACGGTGCAGGAGGAGGAGAAGCTGGACAAGATCATGGCAGCACCCGCAGTGACCGCCGGTGAACCCGAGAAGGTGCGCCTGCCCCTCCAGAAGCTGGAGAGTGCCGTGAAGGCGGTGGCCAAGGATGGCGCCGATGAAGTGATGCTCGCTCTGGAGTCCCACCTGGCAGCCGTTAGTCGGGTGAGTTGATATAACAAAAATTTTTACCTGAATTAGTCTTAGAATAGGCAAGAAACACTATACAAGTATTTAAGAGGTTAACTAAAGCAGGGTAAATTTTTTAAAGAATTAAGTGCTTAGTCAAAAACCAATTTAAATTTGAACAATATAGCTGTAATAAAAATATAAAAATATATAATATATTTCAAATTTCTCAATTTAGATTTATGGCGCTCGTAGTTTGTTCCGGCAGGACGACATCGCCTCCGCGTTGAGTGCCAACTCCATTACGGGTCGTTCGGCGGGATCCAAGTCCAAGATGCTGCTCTTCAACGGACTCTACTACCGCGGCAGCTGGGCGAATCCCTTCTACCAACTGCGCGATGGCAGCGACGAGTTCTTCTTCATGACCAACGAGGATGCGATGAAGGCACCAATGATGCACGCCCGCGGCAAATTCAGGGTTGCAGATCTTCCCCAGCTCAAGGCTCGGGTTCTGAGCTTGCCCTATGAGACATCTCGCTACACTCTGTGCATCATTCTGCCCGACGAAACGGAGGGACTGAGTGATGTGATCTCCCAGCTGCAGACCAGTGATTTCCTACTGGCCCACAAGCAGTTCCAAATGAAGGACATGCATGTGTCTCTACCCAAGTTCCAAGTGGAGGAAACCTCTCGCTCCGAAGCGATGCTCAAGCAGATGGGTCTGAAGAAGATCTTCTCGAGGACCGAAGCTCAGTTGGGCTTACTCTCCGAGGACGCCGACGTTCATGTAGATGAAATAGTGCAGTTTGTGAATGTGCGAGTGGACGAGGGAGGCAGCAGTGCCAATTCTCTGTCAGCCGCCACCACGCAGGCTCGTTCACCCAACGCGGAGTCCACTGTACTGCCTGTGCCAGAGCCAGAGCCCGAACTACCGGGCGTGGAACGCTTCGAGGTGAATCGTCCGTTTGCCTACTTCATTGTGGACTGCCAGGAGCAGTTTGTACTGGCCTCCGGAAAGATCTACACGCCCGAGTTCAAGGAAGATCTGCCGCCGGTTTCCGTCGAAGTGGAACTGGAGCAGTCTTAGTCTGCTAGCTTAGTATCTCATAAGTTTCGTAACGAATTTTCACCGATCCATGCAATAAACGTGCACAATTCATTTACCCAAAAAAAAAAAAAAAAAGAGAAACTTTCCCAGCGCAATCAAAACAACAATTAATTCGCTTACAGATGAGCAGCAACTTCAACCCCCGAAATTCAATTGTCCGTCCGTAATGTGAAATGTATCTGAGGCAGGGCATCGCTAATTTTTGGAAATTTGTCATTGGGTGACGAGTTAGGCGAGTGAAACCAGTTACGGCCTGCAAGATATTTCTCAGGCCAGTCGAGCATGAAGCGCATCCGTGCCACGTGCCCAGGCGAACTTCGCTCCGGAACGAAAGCTGACAGCACTCTTCAAGTGGTCAATGGGCTGCAATTAAAATTCTCATTAGAATGCATGATGTCTTACTACCATCTCTGATTCGTAGTCTGGCCAGGAAGTGCGAGCCCCTTGTTTCCTGCGAAAACCACCGAAAACGCATGCGAAAGGCACAAAACACAACACGGAGAAAATGTGTCTGGAAGTCTGAAGCCACGAGAAGCCATTGAAAAGCTATCACAGGAGGGGGAAATCTGGAGGTCTGGAGGTCTGAAGGTCTGAAGGTCTGAAGGTCTGGAGCTGAAAGTGGCGCCGGCCTGGCGGGCGCCAAAAAGCAGAGGTAAAAACAGGAGTAAATGCGTGCCATGATTACAGCGATGACGACTTCCACCCCGAAGGAGGAAAAGGGAGGAAAACACAGAGGGGACGAAAACTGCGACGGAGACGATGATGTTTCATCTTTTCCACATGAAAACTCACGTAACAAAAATTATGATAATCATAACTTTTTCCACCCACATCCACATCGCCCACTGTCGAGTGCCTTTGTTTTGTTAGCCGGACAAAGGACGACCCATGGAAAGGTATTCGCCTTGGACCTTGGACCATGGAGCCTGGACTGGCGTCTAGTTTTTCTGCCGTCTGGCCATTGCTCTATTTTTATTAAGTCTTTGCATATAAATCAATGTGGCCCGATATGCAGAAGAGCAGAAAAAGGTATAAAAGATTTATGACTCTGTTCTGTGTGCCACAGCTAGCAAAAAGCTCGTTTAAATATTGTTTAACATAATTTCGTGCAAAAGTTTCCAGATGAAGGCGATGAGGGGGCGCAGAACTCTTTCAGCGAAAGCCACACCCACTTGGAGATAAATAAACAAAGTGGCCATAAATCCATCCAGTTGCATCAGCGACAAACGCACAAGATTTATGGCACTGCCTCAAGTCTAATTACAAGTCAAGTTTGTCGAATTGAGAATAGGGGGCTGCCCGTCCAGAAATCGGGAAAATGGCGCAACAAGTGTGGGAAATCACAAAGTCACGCAGAGCCAGCTGTTTTCCCAGAACAAAAATCAAACGGGAAAAGAATCCCCCTCTAAATTCAGAGCTGTTGACATTACACATGTGAGCACCAGCTGTGGCATATCGATGAAAAAGTCGGGTGATCTTTAGTTGACTGATTAGCTAATGCTGCCGAAACCTTACAAAATCAAACCTATCACAAGTTAAACACAGTTTAGAAGTCCGCAAATGCCTCCTCATGTCGCATGGTTTTGGCCTTGGGCCGAGGTTTATCAGAGACCTTGTCGAAGTTGGATACATCCTCCGGATTGCTGATGTTGGGCACATAGGGTGCATTAATCGTTTGATTTAGCAGGGGTATCCACTCCACATCCTTGAACCATTCGTGGTCCTTGATGTCCTTATTGCCGTTGATCAGGTTGCCATAGCTGAAATATAAAGATACACAATTGGCGTCATCAGGTTAAATAATCTAAAGAATAAATACCGCTTTGAGAGATCCACCTGCAGCAAATGATCCACCAAATGACGCAAAGCACCACTGAAATAGCTGGGCATCTTGTAGTCCCCCTCGCAGATCTTATTGTACATGCTCATCACATCACGATTGTGGGCGGAAAATGGCGAGTGACCGGCCACAAATTCAAAGACCAGCACGCCAAAAGCCCACCAGTCCACGCTGGTTCCATACGGCTTCGACTGGATGATCTCCGGTGGCAGGTACTCCGGCGTGCCACACAAAGTCATTGTGCGCGTTTCCACTTTCTGTGGGTTGAGTAACTTGAGACTTTGAAATATTTCTTTAATATGGAAATTTTAGGTGATAAACCTTGGCAAATCCGAAATCCGTCACTTTCAAGTACCCGTTCTTGTCCATCATAATGTTTTCGGGCTTGAGATCTCGATAGAGCAGACTGCAATGATGCAGGTACTCCAGAGCCAAGAAAACTTGGGCAGCATAGAAACGAGCTTGCTTCTCAGTAAACTTTCGCACTCTACAGAAAAGTATCAAAGCTTGGTAAATAGATGCACTGATAAAATAAAAATAAAATTGAATAGCAAAAATAAATATCTGACTATAGTGAATTCAAAAATTCATGTATATCTACACTAAGTATAAAATCATATTATTAAAAACAATGCAATTCAAATCGCAAGATTTAATAATAAACTGTTTCAATTAATGTGGATAATATTATATTTTAAATATCATAGTTCCTATTTGATATAAAATGTTTCTTGTTAATTTAAACATGGTTTAAATTAAAATTAAACTTTCAGATATTAAAATCAATTCCAAATCAAATACAAAATGTGACAAAAACTTTAATATTTTCATAAAATAACTAAAAACCGCAAAAGATGATAAGATAAAAATATTTAAATAGAGTATAAAATATTATGCCACGATTTTTGATTTATATGGGAGCTACACTCCCTGATCAATAACTTATTATCGTCATGCCTTATATCTTTGCATTTAATGTTCTGATTAATTTCTCACTTTCTGTGGTAGGTGAAAAGCTCTCCACCGCCAATTAGCGGCAGGATTAGGTACAGGCTGTCGTAATCCTTGAAGGAGGCTATCAGGTTGACCGTGTTCGGGAACATCATTGATCGCAGCACGTTCTTCTCGCTCATCACGTGGCTCACCTGCTTGGTCTTGATAATCTGATCCTTGCTCAGCTGCTTGGATGCGAAGTATGCCCCGGATTCCCGCTCTCTCACCAATTGCACCTTGCCAAAGGAACCGGATCCCAGGGTGGCCTTCACATCGTAGTCATCCAATCCCCTGCTGGGCGATGGAATGTTGAGCTCAAACTTCTTGTTGAAATCCTCGCGCAACTTGTCCAAGATTAGGATGTAGTCCACCTTGGGACTGAAATGCATTTGCGGTTGGTCGGGTGACGGGCCCATTGCAACTCCACTTCCCTAAGTTCGCTTCTTTGGGCTCTTAGCTTTAATTACTATTATTAGCTTTACCAGAATTTTGAATTTTTTATATTTTTTTATATCATTATAAAAAGTTTACAACGCAGTTAAATATTAAATGACTTAAATAAATAAGGCTACTTGGATAATATAAAATAGTCACATAACCATTCTCAATTTATGAATTACACACATTCAACACCTTTTTATATATATAAAATTATTTAATTGATATTTATTATTATTATTATTATTATATTATTATATTATATTATATTATATTATATTATTTTTGTTAAGAGTTGTTTAACCATATATTAGAGTATTTAAGTCTTAAATTTCCTTCCTTAAAAACACCAACCACACGTTTATCAATGACTAAATTAGATATAAACTGAGGAAAACGACAATTTCTACGGACAAACATACATTTAAAAATTCGCAAATAAATCGGGATGCCGGTTTATTCGGGACTTCAGGCGGTCCTTCAACTGGTAGTTCTCGAAGTTGGACAGATCCTCGGCGCCGCTGATGGTGGGCAAATAGGGGGCGGTCACCTCCTGGTTGAGGATGCCGTACCAGTCGACTCCCACAAACCATGGATGACCCTTCACATCGATGGCGCCCTCTTGCGAGTTTCCTAAACTGAATAGTGGTGGCATGAGCTCCTCCTGGATGTCCCTGACCCATTCCCACCTTCACTCACCGCTTTGAGGTGTCTACCTGCATCAAGCTCTCGATAAGATTCTTAAGCTGGCCAGTAAAATAGCTGGGCATCTTGTAGTCGCAGACACAGATCTTCGAATACATCAGAATGATATCGCGATTGTGAACGGCAAAGGGAGAGCGGCCCGCCACAAACTCGTACACAAGAATTCCGAAGGCCCACCAGTCCACCGATTTGTTATACGGCCGGAGTTGCACAATCTCCGGTGCCAAATATTCCGGAGTTCCACACAGGGTCGAAGTGCGGCCGTCCACTCGCTGGAGCTTTAAAATTAGTATATTCATAAGGAAGTTCTTAACCCACCTTTGCAAAACCAAAGTCCGTGAGTTTGATATAGCCTCGCTGGTCGAGCAGGATGTTCTCTGGCTTCAGGTCCCGGTACATGAGGTTCATTTTGTGCATATACTCGAGGGCTAAAGCCACCTGACAGGCATAGAAGCGGGCCTGCTTCTCGTTGAACTTGCGAACCCTTTTTTGTTTGGGGGGAGATCCATTAAACCTCAGTCTGCAAACACATGGAATCAGGGATACTCACCGGCGATGATAGCTGAACAGCTCGCCGCCATTGACTAGGGGCAGGATCAAGTAGAGGTAGTCGAAGCACTTGGTGGAGTCCACCAGGTGGATGAGGAACGGGAATCGGGCGGCATTCAGCACGTGCTTCTCGTTGTGGACGTGGGCCACCTGCTTAAGACGCACCAGATCCTCCTTGCTCATCATCTTGGCGGCATAGTAGTTCTTGCCAACTTTCTCCTTGACCAGCATCTGAAAATATAAGTCCCTTAAGTTCAATACGCAAATTCTATATACAGTTGTTAATCGGCCACCAAGCTACCAAATGTTATATTTGAAAATATTTAAATCATTTTTTTTTACTTTATTTATTTTAAATATTTAGCATAACATATAAATATAAGGAGGAGCACTTATTTTATACAAGAAATGACAGATTATATTTATTTAGTTTACCACAAAAGAAGTCAGAACTTTATTTATTTAGTTTTGAATACTTGTTAATTCTTAATATTATTTTACAAAAAAGTCAAAACAAATATAAAACTGAATTAAAAATATTGAAAACTTATTCTTAAAAATAATTCAAGATATTCATATTTCGATTCAAAGCTTCATAAGTTATGGAATCAATTCGGTAACATTGTGGTTTAAAAAAAAATGAGGACAGGTTTGTTCAGAAGCTTAAGGACTTATCACAGTGCCAAAGCAGCAATAGTTATAGAATCTCTTTGGTAATATTTTGGATTAAAAAAGTTAGGGTAGACATGATCGGTAGGTTAAGGACTCACCACTGTGCCAAAGCTGCCGGTGCCGAGGACAGCACGCGTTACATAGTTCTCCAGATTCGTGTAGGGCGACTGCGTCTGGTGGTTCCAGCGTTCTTCGAACTCCCGACTCATGTTCTCCAGGGTGGTGTTGTAGTCTTCCTTGGAATTAAAGAAGTACTGCGTATTGTGCTGGCTCATAACAGCAATCCGCTATCTGGCCAAGCGCTCATCTTAACGCGCCTTCGCGAGTGGCTTCCGATGCGGAGCTGGACTAGCGAAACGATTTTCAATGGTAGCTCTATGGGGTAATAGGCGCTTTTGGTACTCGATACACTTGAAATTTGGAATTTCATCACTTTTACACAATAAACAGATGATCAGTGACAACGGAGTCAAAGCCACAGTGGAAAAATCTGTCGTAAGAGGAATTCTTTAATTCGGTCATCAAATTAATAAATAAATATCTTAATCCTTCGAGGATGGATAGTATAGTTCGTTTGCTGAACAAAACAAACACTCTATTGGCTGTGGGTAATGGTTAAAAGATCCAAGGCCATACATCGTTAAATTCGCCATACAATTACCAATCAAATGGAATTCCTAGCTTAAAATTTAAATTTAATTTCATTTAATTTTATTTTAAATTTAATGTTCTCCAATGCAATGCATGGTCTCTTTTTAATAAATGGTTGGAATAGAATTTGCAAAACTGGCAACATTTTTTTTCTAGAAAAGGATCTCCCAAAGTCGCCATATACCTATTGTAATTAATTTTCAAACTTGGCATAATTCCTATGCAGTAGTTCTTTTTCAGGTAAAAGGAACTTCAAGAATGTGGAGTCTCTGAAATCTGTGGCCCAAGTCAAGGACCACTTCTTTCAATTAGCCGACAGAGCCTTTCCTCAAGGTATGACAAATTCATCTCCTCCTTCCAGGACGCCTGAGAAATGGCAATTTCCTGCGACTGTGACTGAGTCCACACACATGTGTGTCTGAGTCCGACTTCTCGACATGTCCTGGTGCTGGTCCTGGAGTCTGGAGTCTGGTCCTCCCGTCCTGTTCTGGCTGCCTCCTGGCCGCAAAAGTAAGAAAAATTGCAAAACGTCCGCTTGATAAATGATGCTAACCAAGATTACATAAGTTGGTAATTTTCTAGTACATTTATTTCCACATGTCAGGCCAGTCGAGTTCGGAACTCCAGACCGCATCTTCATGTTGATGGACATGTGAGTGGCTATCCAAGAGATGGGATAGTGTAGTATGGTAGGCTTTGGGCACCGGATGCCCGAATTGTTGCAGGCTTTTAAGGTAACTGTCGACCGAACCGTTTATTGGCCATTTCGGGCCGAGTGGGCCAGTCTGTTGTCATTGTCCCACCTAAATTGACAATTAATCATTATCTTTTCGGCCGGGTCGGCATTCAGATTGGCAGATTGGGTCAGCTTTGGTTTAGTTTGGTCCTTATGTGACATGTGAAAATGGGTTTCTAAATACGCTTTGGCCTGGCCTAATGCCCTGGCATTTGTTCTCGAGTGCCGGAGAACTTCATTATTGATTGGCTGGCAAAAGGGGATTTTTTGTATCAAGGGGTTGGATGGGCTAATGAAAGTGGCCAACTGACTCATCTGACTCTAGATTTTAATTCGCTTAAAATGAAACAAATCGTCACGTACTTAGAAACTTTCACTTGCACTGAAAGCGGCGGGAGTCGTGCAAAAACTAAACAATTTAGCCAATGGATGTGAATGGTATGGTATATTCCAATTGAAATCCCGGCTCATTTAACTTAGAGCCCAGTGGCCCAGAGCTCACAGCTGCCGCCAGATAAACTCCAGTTGGCTAAGATATGTTAACGACGGCCATAAATAAGCGGATAATATCTGGAAGGCCTAGTATCCTCCATATCCCCCACATATATGTGTGTGCTAAGCGGGCCAAGAGCAGATTAAGTCGCACGCTCACGTTTCTTGGCCGTTTCTTTTGGCCATAGTCGCACTTAAAATTCATTTGTTGTCTTGAAGGACTCAATCCGCCGTTCCCCTTTTGGATTTTGCCCAAACGCTATGCAAAGTAATTGACGCCTCGATGAACTGTTGACACACATGGCATTTGTCTTTGGCCGCCTGGCTAATATTTGGCTTAGTTATCAGGGCCATTTTTTGGGCTTAAGTAGGTGAATGTCCCGGGACTATATGGCCAAATTCAATTATGCTGAAAGGTTTCAGTTTTTCAACCCCCTGCCTCCCGACCACTGAAAAAGAGTGCCGGAAAAGCAGCTGCCGGCGGACTGGCCTCAGCCATTAGCGTTAATCTCCGCACAATCGGGAATAAATCAACGCACGCTCTGCACTCGCTGGCCGGAAAATGCATTCGGTATTCGGTATTCGGTTTTTGGGCATTTGGCTTTCAATTCAGCTCACAGTTCAGCGGACAGCAACAATGTAGCTGCCACCGGATGAGAATCCCGGCGCAAAAACCTTCCACCTCACCGTTTGCGACGTGTGCTCGAATTCAGAAGGTGTAACTAATCCTCTGGCCATGTGACTTTTTGTCATGCGCTGTCGTCAAATACTATGCACGAAAATCGACACCCGACAGCCGATGAACCCTTGCCAATCGGATGGCAAAGGTTTTCCTTTCCACTCGATTCCACCCCGAAATCACACGGCCCAGCAGCGGCTTTCCACCTTCAATCAACGAGCCTCCAACTCCACCCCCATTTCAGGCAGTCCGATTGATTCCATCCAGTGTTCGCTTCGAATTGTCGCTTGTAATCCCTTGATTCGGACTTGCACTCTAAGAAAATAGGGTTTCAAAATGCAAGGATTCACAAAAAAACCAAGTATGTATTTATGGTATTTTAAAAGATCATTCAAATATAATTTCCAGGTGCATAATACTCCGAATTATTTTGAAAACATATGGCACACGTTATTAAATAAAGAGTTTCAATTTCGAAAGTACAAAGCTATCTGCTCTTATTGGTATATTTCTTCCAGTTTCTTCCAGTGCATAGCTAGAGTAATCATCATGGATATGCTCTGCGGGTGGGCCGATTTGACATTTTGCAGTTGGCTGATTTCGTCCATATGAGGGATATTCCACCGGGCGGTGAACTTTTGGCTTGACAATAATTTTCATAATTTCCCTTGCCCAGCTGGAGCTACCTTGCCGAGGGCAAATTCATAAATCAGCCACGAACTATTGACACAACCCGTTGGCCATAAATCAGTGGGATCCGCGGACATCAGGTTCACACACACGGCCAGTAGCGTTATAGCCATATTCTAAACAAATTGCCCCCAAATCGGCCGAGACTATATCGATATTGGGACGTATCCGTGAATTTTCCGGCATGCCAAATGCACGGACAAATAATGGCAACAAAAGCGCGGAATAAAACAATTGCCACAGTTTTAACATTTTGCTATTTGCCATAAATAAACATGAACCGGTTTTGGGTATTTGGTTATGGGTTCTGGGTTCTGGTTGTGATCCTAGTCCCAGGACCTCTTCCACTTCCTCTTCCGCCGGCGAGTGCAAAATGCTCAACATTTTATTGAAATTCAATTAAAGTCGTATTTCAATAATTGGTCACGCATGGTGCGCATTTCCGTGCCAGTCCGCTTCTAAATGCCGCTCCACAATTTATGACTTTTCAATTCGGTTTTTTTCTATATTCGGGGGGCAATTGAAATGCTGCCACTTGGCCAGCGTCCTATGTCCTTTGTCCTTTCGTACCCGCCGAATGGAAATCGGAAATTGTTGCAAAATTTAGTTGTTGAGGAGAGGAGTCTGCCTGCATTAGGCTGCAAGTTCTTATCAGTTTCTGGGCTCACCCTTGTCACCCTAAAACCCTATCCCCTCGATACATTTTCTTTCTACCAATTCACCCTCACGTTAAGTGTGCAGCATTTTTGCGTGATTTGTGCGAATTTCTCTGTCTCTCGTTGAGGCTGATAAAATTTTGCAAGGCCGGGGGCTGGGGAAATGGGAAATGCGATACGGGGTGGTTAGTTTGCAGCCACTGCCTTTGTTGATGTTGTTTAGTGCCATAAATTCTTTTTTACTTGTCATATCTGACTTCGGTCTCTCTCCATTTAGGCACAGATCATTAAGTTTTGCACTGCGTCTATCTGATTTAAAGACGAACAGGCGAACATGTGTAGCCATATATATATATATATACAATCGCCCATCCCCTGGATTTATCAAAATGTCAATTGCCCCGCAGACTGTCGCGGCTGTTTAGTTTTAGCTCCACTCGACAGGCGGGCATCCTCTAATTAACGAGGCGTTGATGCCGCGTTTTGGGGGAAATTATTTAGCAAAAAATCAATTTGATTCGAGGCATCCCATCGCCTCACAGACTGTTGCTCAATTTGGTAAAATCAGTGCAGACCAAATGAAATCCATCAAAACATCAACACTGTCTACGAAGAACAGACAAAGCGTTTGATTTACATCTGTTTAGGAAATTATATGTGAAGATGTTGAAACATAATATTTGTTTATCACTAGTGCATTCATGAATTGACAATTTCGTCAATTTAAATAACCTTTTCCTATTAATGACATCAAAACAAAACAACTATATTTTTTCTTGCTCACAATAGTCTTGTCAAAAATAAAAGGGCTACAAAGACATTCCTCCTTGTTATGATATAAATAATTAAATGATATTTATAAATATTTTATAAGCTTTTTAAGCAGTTAGATCCCTTCGCACTCAATTAACACATGTTTTTACTACGCATGAACATCATTAGAGATGCAATTGCATTCCTTTCGATCTCGTAAAGCAGTCGCAAAATGCAGTGCAAATAATCAACCTGAGGCATGATCAAAGTGATGTTGACAACGACATCTTCTGGGTGTGTCCCATTCGGGAATCCCTATCCCGGATCCTCCCTTTTGGCATCTCGCAAAAGAAAACTTTGGCCATATTCCGGGCATCTTTATGATCGCCTTAGATCTCCGCTGGCTGCCAACATATTTCTACACGCCAAACATTTTATTTTGACAGGCATGCGATTTGCACGCTTAATTGAGACAGGTGCATTCCGCAGAAGGGGGTGAAAATGGAGGAGTCTTAGGGGTAAAAACGACGAGGATGAGGTGGAACCACGGGAAGTGCGGCCAAGCTGCGACATGTGTTCCCTTATGGTGTCGCACAAATGCGGAGATTTATCATCGTGCCACATGGCACGTGTGTTTTCCATTTCGTCGCCTCCGCTCCGCTGCGCTGCGCTGCGATTTTCACGGGAAAAGCCAGCGACGCTCGCCAAATGCAAAATTAACAACCTAATTAATAGTTGGACCCGGCCAGGACAGGTCTCCTCCCATTCCCATGCCAGCCCTGCTCACTGCTCCCTGCTCCCTGCTCACAACCACCCACTCTGATCGCTCTCTGTTTCAGGCAGCTGTTCCCAAAATGCTGCGTATTTTTCGCTCAGTGCATCGATGCCAAGAGGCGGTCACGCCCACCCAACTTGTTGGCAATTGCAACGGACTCGAGTGCTTTTAATGGATTTTATTCGGGGTATGATGTGCAGAAGGAAGCTATGTTTTTAAATATATTCATTAACATCATTTGACTGTATCTCTTAACCAAAAGTTTATTGATTAAATGAATCACGCAACAATGTGCAAAGCCATTATTTAAATCTAGAATAAACTATTTTAGAGCCAGAATTCGGGGCCAAAAATATTAAAGTAACTTTAATACTTTTACAATTACTTAACCCAAAAAAATGTAAAAAGTTCTAAAGTATAATAAATAATGTAATACTAAATAATATAACACCTTTATAGCTCATTGAATTTTCATATCTATACCAAAGAGTCTAATATGTACAGTAGTCTAAGTCCTTATTTTAAAATTTTTGCTGATACTTCCGTAGTAATTTAATTCTTATTTTATTAAGACATTTTTCATACCCAATAGTTTAAAATTTACAAAAAAAAAAAGTTGGTTTCTATGAAAAATTTTCTTTTTTTTAATTTTTACATTTTATAAAAACTTATTTATGTACAGTTTATTCTGTTGTCAAAATCATCGTTGAAAAAATAAAGATTTCGTCTCCGTTTTATCGGGATAAATATCAGATAAAATAAAAATGTTTTTTATTAATCAAAAGACTCCATTTGTTTTGAAGGAAGTATGTATTTATAATTGTTAACAATTAAAGTGTAAAATATACTGTATAAATCACTGTAGGTATCTCTTAGTCGGAGAACACGTCTACAAATTGAGGTCGTGTCTGTTTTCTGTTTTCTGTTTTTTAATTGGACCCATCTCAGATCCCTCCAATTTTTCGAGCAGCGGAACCGCAAACTAAGAGTAACTAACGGCCAGCGGGCGGCGCTGTCAAAGTCAGCTGCTTCTACATCCTATATCCCATATCCAATAGTCCATAGTCCACATTGCCTATTCCCGCTCTTGGTGGAAACGTCTAAAACGTTGAAAAATTCCAAATTGACTGCCGGACCCCTGGATGTCCGAGACTCCGGCTATTGAAGGCGTTTGCGGTTGGACTTCTCGTTTCGGGCCGGACGTTTATTGAACATTTTTACTTGCGGTCGGGGCCCCGGCAAAAATGGTATATGGCGGGCCAACCAGCAGGCACTTTTATTAATTTTTGTGTGAGCTCGTCTCGATTTCACGGACAGCCTTAAATGCAAATCGCTGCAAATGGGATTTGTTGAAAAGGAGGTTTACGGGCTGAAAGCTGAGCGCTCAGCGCTGAGAGCCAAACGAAATTGGCCAAAAAAATGCGTTAAATGCAAATTGGATAAGATGTCGTGTCAGAGAAGAAGAGCAGTGCATGTGGCTGCCAAAAGCGGATTTCCTTAGCCTATCACATGAATGGGGCTGAAACCGAGACGAGAAAGCCGAGGAATGGAAACTTTAAAGTGGATTATATCTCGAGGATGTGCCCCCTCCCCCCCCCATTTCCCAAAAACGCCCAAGTCCTATCTCCTGCGCTTCGCAAACATAAATCCGTGAGTTTTTGCGAGCGAAATTTATGGCGCTCGCGACACTCGCGAAAGTTTTGGCTATGGCGATGGCGGCGGCGGCGGCATTGTTGTATTTATGACCGCGACATGACCTGCTCACATAAACGGTCGACTAAGGCGAGTCCTGAATCCTGAAATCCTGAATCCTGAGATCCAAAAGTGTTGCAGGCGGCAGCTCCACTCCGCCGTACGTGCGAGTCCTGCTCGGAAATTGGATTTGCCCGAGGATACGGAGCATCTTTAGCGAGCTAAGCTGCCGCCTCTTAAATCTCGACGCCTGTCAATTTATGCTTTTGATCGAAATTTATGTCCGCTCTCGCCTAATGAGCAAAATGCAGCGTAGAAATTACAAGGATACCAGGAACACATTCAGGAAATGAGGAAAACAGGAGCCTGGCACTTTGCCCCAATTCCAATTGAAGTTAATTACGTGGAACATTCACTGTTCAATCTGGCGATTTACATTTTACCAACCCCACGGAGGGGAAAAAATGGTAGAAAAATCCATTCGACCGGATGCAGGATGTCTGGATTCTGCTTATGACTGCAGAATCTATGGAGTATTGTAAGTGTGTTTGCCGAAAGTCTCCGGGCCAAAATGGTCAGTCCAGAATGTAGCGGCCATAATTATTGTTATGTTAATGGCGACCATCGGCAGGGGAAACTTTACTAAGAGCGGCTTTCGGTGTTGATTGGGTCTCTCGGCCATAAAGCCATCACCATGAGTTTGGATATCGACAAATGTTGTTTGTCCATCGGTTTCCACGTTCTGTGCTGTGTTTGCCCAGCGACTTTGCATAAAAATGGATGAGTGATGTCGTGGTATGGGCACATATTTATGAAGCCTTTGTCAGAAATCAAAGTTTACTATTTCAGTCTACGGTTTCATGCTTAGAGCATTTTATTTTTGGTATAAAATATTTGTAGGCATATTTTTGTCAAGTAGCTCGGACGAAATTGTAAGTTCGTAATACATTTACTTGCAGGTAATTTTACTTGATTAAAGAAAAATCCTTTGTTTACCATTCGTTTGGAATAATTTTGTGAATTTTTAATTACAGATTTTGCAGATTTACAAAAATTATATTTTGAAATAATAAAATATAGTATAAATTTAACGAAAAATACAAACCATTCCAATGTATTATAAGTTTAAGTGTGAAGCCCTACAGCACCTTATGCTTTATAAATCACACTTTCTTTTTTTGCAATTCAAAATATGCATTATGCTATATTTAAAGTTAAACTCACCTTGTTTTATAATAACCAGATATATATTGTACAATTTTTAACTCACAAAACCAAAAGGCACCCCATTAAACCTCCCAAAAATATAATTATCTAAGAAATTGTTTTTTATGAAACAGATACCTTAAAATATGTAAGTTTCTCAAGTTTATCATCTGATAATGAGAACCGTGGCGAAAGTCTTTAACTTATTTTCCAGTTAAGTGGCAAAAAGTGTGCCTGAGTTTTCTGGCTCAGCCATTAAGTTCCCTCCCACTTAGCCTGAAGAAAGGGGGCGTGGCATTCGCACTCCTTTTTTTTACGATTCGCCATAGCTTTTGAAAGGGGGCAAAGGGGCGATCTGCATCTGATCCAGGCGTCAGCGGTCCTGATAGGTGTGACACGTTCCGTGATTGATGAAATGTTTGCCCATAAACCCAACCGAAAAGAGGAAGAACCCGACGAACTTGGACCGCCAACTAATTTCCACATTTTTCACATTTACGAAGACAAATTGAGGTGCGAACTTGGGTCGAGGCAATAAAAGTGCCGAATATCAAAACAACCAAATCTTTGGCCATAAAAAAGAGGTAAGGGTGTGGGCTGAGGGGGCGGATTCTCCAGGGGGAGGAAGGGTTGTTGGACTGGCGGTGGCAGGCATGCGAAAATCCCGAATGCCAATTGTTTCTCGATTCTCAAGGAGATGAGCATCCGCCAAAATCCCGGGGAGCTGAGCATTCGCATTATGAGTCGGAGAAAAAAAAAGGGAAAGGCATCGAAATCGGACCACTATAAAAGTCAATATCTGGGACAATAAATTGCGACTCCTTCGATACAGTTACACTGTGCTTTTGAGTTAGAGTTCGTGGCGAATCGTTCGCCATTTGAGTTTTCCTATTTCGGTTTAGTTTTCCATTTCATTTCGTTTTATATGCCCGGCTCGACAAAAGTTGTCAACGGCCATAAACGTCGGCCCACCAACCACCCACTTTCCTTTGACTTTTCAATAAAACGCAACACCAGCCGCAGACTTTTCTTCCCATCCCACCCCCTGGTTTCCATTAGCATAATGTCTGATTCGACGATCTGATGCGGACTTTGATTTCCCTGGCTCTCACTTTCGATTTGCCACAATTCTATTTTATTTATTTGCCGGCCAGCGAAATTACATTTTAAAAAGTTTGCTTCTCGTTTGTTTTATTTGTTTCTGTTTGGGAGTACAACAAATTTTTATTGCTAATGTATGCGCATGGGAAATTGATTCGGCCCCTCTCCCCAGACCAGATTTTCACCAGAGAGGTGGGGATTTTTTTTCCGTCTTAATTCTGCGCGACCTTGAATGCTGCTGCGCTAATTGTTAATCGAGTGCCAATGCCATGTCAGCGGCGACCTTGGCCAGAAGTAGGGGATCCATTATTCTCGACAAATCTGGTTCAAGAGCAGAAATCGAGGGGAGAAAGAGCTGCGAATTTTGAGGCTCAGCACCGAAATAGATTGGCCACACAACATCTGGTTCGTATAAAATCGAAATCGAAATGGAAAACGCTTCTTTTCTTTTCCCTTCATCTCATCTTGTGAAAAAGTTTACGAACCGCACAGTGATCTTCGGGATCGATGGCTCCGCTGGCCACTTGGTACAGTAGAGCCTGCAGTATAAAGGGCATCCGCTCGTCGCGATCCAGGTTGCACCAGGTGATTCTCCCCTCAGTTCGAACAGTGCAATTTGAGGCCCATGGATAAGTCTTTTGAAAACTCCTGTCGAAAGTCAAACGGAAATTTTCGTAAGGAGTTTCCTTCAGTTCGTCTCCTGTTAAAGCCTTCCACTGAAAACGCAGCTTTTCCGCCGGTTTTAAAGATTTCCAAGATGGTGCATTTGGCAGCTCCTCAACATAGTTTTCGTATATAGCCCTAGCACGATGTTCATGGTTTGCCAGCTCCTCTTCAGTAGGTGGATTTTTATTAATGCTTATATCACTGGCTACATCTTTTCCTCCACTTAACCTATAATTTTTCATACATTTTCTTTTGGGAAAGAGATTCTTTACAAAATGCAAAAGCCTTGCATTTGATTCTTCTGATAACTCATTCTCTGAATCTTCTTGAGGCCAGCAGGTCTCTACGGATTGACTTGTCTGGCAGCCTTTTTCCTCGTTCTCTGGAGTTAACTTTATGTCTTCCTGGTCAGGACACTGATTCTCCGGCTCCTCTTCACATATTTCTTCACACTTCTCGTTTTCTTCATCCTCATCTTTAATATCCTTTAAAATTTCTTCCAATTTGCTACAGCTTAAGTCCGAAAAGCGAATAAGACGCGGCTCACATCGCTCCTCACCATCGTAGGTGATCAAAGGACCCGGATAATGGTGTCTTATTGTATAACTAGGACGCGTTACCAAACGAGACTTTTTATTTTGTCCCCTTACTTCAACAGCTAACTCTTCATCTGTACACGAAGTTGAAGATCCAAAGCCAAGAGTGCTGAAAATGCTTTTTAGCAAACCAGACAAGTCGCTGCTCAAAAACTTGCAAATGGCATCCATTGCACTAAGCAAATATATAAAATATTAAAAAAAGTTACTTAAATTTCGTTTGTTTTTGGTACAAAATAGTCCTATGGTTGTTGTATTGCTTTTAACGGATTACTATAGATTGAATTTTGTCTTGCAACTCAAAGCTTACTGAATTCTTGTAGTTTATGCTTATCGAAAAACGTTTGGTAAGAGTTCTCGTAAGTTTTCCTGTGATTGCGTTGTCAAAAGAATCCCAATTTTACCCGGCTTAATTTAGTGTTCGTGAAAATATATGGTCCCGCATTATAAATGCGAAAAACACTCGTTCACATAAAAATCAGACGGGGGGCGAGACCGAATATGACAACGAATTTCGCTATATTAAAAATGCTGCTGTAGCTGCAAAAAAGAAAAAAAGATGGAAAAAATATCAGAATAGAAATAAAATAAAAAGAAGAACGGAAAGGAAAACATTTGGATTTCCACATTTATTCGCTTCTCTCCTCGTTTATTTATGTTTTCTGCTTATTATCTGGGGCGGGGCTGGGATGGGCGGAATCGCAATTGGAACGTTCATATTCATTCTTCCGATTAAGCAGTTTTCATGGTCATCGCCAAACGTTTGCGCACACTCGCCTCATCGCGAATCATGGCCGAAATAAAATAAAATAAGTGGCCTAAATAAAAGCCAGTGAGGGAGGGGGAAAAATAAACCTTTCGGAGAGCATTGCCCACCGATCCGAGTCCCGAATAGCTGCAATTATTGAAATTAATTTCATTTATTACATCATGAAAATATTTTCCAGCCAGCGAGCAAAATATTTTCGCCACACGCTGTCCTTTGCAATTAAGGATTGGACATTGACTTGTCGGCCCCCGTATTTTCAACGTTTTTGTGTGCGTAATTTGAAGTTAATAACGTTGAAATAAAATCCCCATTCGATTTGTATCGCCCCCATTTGGCAGACCAACGTTTAGCAATTGTCCAAGCCAACAACATGACTAGGCACTGACAAAAAGGACTTTGTTTTTATATAAATTAAAGAACATAAGAAGCAAGCCATAACAAGATTAGGCAAATTATAAACTCAATCACGAAACCCACAAAAAAATGACAAAAATCGTACCTCAAAAAAGGTTAGATTAGTAAGTGCAAAAAATAAACTAAAAATATTATCAAAAAGGGTTTTTTTTATATTATTTTATTAAATAACTTAGCTTAGGAAGTATATTTAAAAACATTTCAGTCTGTACTTTATTTTTCTCTGTACCATTATCAGGAGTCAGGAGTATTTTGGTGTACCACCTATAAAGTCTGCACTTAATTGCTATGAATACGAATATTTGTTCGATATGTCATCATATTTTTCGGGGAATTTATGATGAACATTTGGGATAGGTGGGGAAAAAATACCATTTAATAATTTCTGCTTATACTATAACGATGTTTTGCAATCTCTGGAGAGGCTACCCACGCCTATGAAAAATTCTGCATTATCCACTGCGATTCCCCCGGCGAAGATGAGCTATTTCCTCACATTTTCTCGTTTTCTCCGATTTACGATGGCTAGGTGAGCTGGAGTGCCGTGTTGCGAGCTAATGGCGATGCGTCGGCCACAGCTCCCAGAACAATAAAATTCCCATTTAGACGTCGCGTGAAGCTTTCGCACTCCCTTGCCCCGATTTTCTCAAAGAAAAACCGCCGGAAAAGTGTGGCAGCAGCAGTTTTCATCGGATGTGTGCGTTTGTGAGTGTGCAGCGTGTTTACGTGGAAACAATTTTTATGGCATGTCAAAAACCTATTTTAATGCTTTTAATGAAAGCGAATTTTATTGCATTACTTTTCGATTTTACTGCCCCGCCCACCCCCTGAAAATCGTCGGGGGGCGTAAAAATGCACTCAACTCAAAATGTTGACAAGATCGTAAAAAGTTTCGTGCGGTTGGGAAAACAAGAAAAACAGGTGACAAAGCAAAAACCGAAGACACCGCAAAAATGGAAAACTTGCTCATAACAAAGGCCACTTAAACTGCCAATTGCGGTGGCTTTTCTCGAGTTTTCCTTTCCGCAGAAAAAACATTTTTGCATAAATTCGAATTTCGCTGGCGACGGCTCCCGAAAGTATACTTTGAATTTTTCGAGCTGGCTGCTACCTTTGCCAAATTCATTTGACCAGAAACTTAAGTTATATTTTGGCCAGCAGCCAGTAGTAAAAAGAGCAGGGATGGGGGGAGGAGGGGGCTCCCAAAAAGAGACATGTTTAGTGGCACGGCAGCAGCGACAAAAGCTTTCAGCCATAAAGGATGCAGGATGCAGGATGAAGGATTCGGGGGCAGGGGCCGAAAAGGGAACCCAACACACGTCGCCTGTCGGAGCACTCAATGTCAGCAGCTCGGGGCAAATGCAGTTCCAGTCCGGCGAAACAATGACATGAGTTTTGGACGCACTTTTGCTCCCTGAAATGAAAAAAGAGCCCTGCGACAATCCATATTGCATGCATTAAATATCTCATATATATGTGGTGGAGCAACCAAATGGATTCGGGGTCGCCAATATTGACAGGGTCAGTCATGCATTGTTGGCCGGCCAAAAAAGCGGTCGGATTGTCAACTGCAGGACAGCTCACAACTTTTGGCCCGGCCCATTGATTCGCGGAGGCAGGAACATGGACGACTGAGTCCTAAAACAAAAGGAAGATTCCTTCCTGCTTAATTTCGACGCACTCGAATGAAATTAAGTTTTTAGTAAGCACTGAAAAAATGTCCTGGAACATTCCAAAAAAGTATACAAAGTTTTAATCTTATCCTCTTTTTAATTAGTTAGTAATAAGTAATAACGTTAACGTCAATTTAACAACATAATTTAAAGTTTATATTATGAACAAACCAAAAAAATTTACCTAAAATGTTTATGTTAAGATTATTTTAACAATAAAATTTGTGACTCTAAACTAAAAAAGGCAAATTTTTGTTATATTGCAATTTATTCAAATTTGTGCAGAACAACTTTTAGAATTTGTGATTATATTTATCAATCGTTTTAAACTCAATGTAGCGACTAAGCTTTATGTAACCAAGCTTTGTATCTTAGCTGTATATTTTTTTTTGAGTGCACTGCAACTGATTCGCGAACATTTCGGGGTGACTGTGAATGGGAACCAATTCGCAGCCAGATATTCGTATCTATGGCCTTCTCAGCTGTGTGACGAATCCTCCTCTCATTTCAAGAGAAGTGTCATTAGCCGGGATTCGTTCGTAAAAAGCAATGGCAAATGGCAGCCACAAGTGACAAAGTTAGAGCACCAAATTCGTTTCATTGGCCCATAAAAAATAGCGAAAACAAAATGCAAATTAGTTTTTTGAGGCCCGCGAAAAAAAGATGGAACACTTTTGCAAGTAATTCTCGACGGCGGAGACCCTTGACATTAGATGTCTCCCCCTCCCCGTTCCCCTTGCCTTTCACTTTTCCGTCGCATATAATTACAGTTATTTGTGTAGCTAATTAATTGCTAATCAATCATAGGACGAAAGCGAGACAGACCCACAGACCCACAATAAAAAGGGCGAGCCGTTGTTTGCCTGTCAGCCAGACCCAAAGGACATCTCAATCCCGGGACTTCTAAGTATTCCCCCTCCCATCCCCCTATTCCCTATCATCAACGTCGACCCAACTTTTGTCCAGAGACAAAAGCCCGGCGAAAACAAAAGCTTAGCAAAAGATTGATCACAGCAAACTGGCGAGCTGCACCTGCTTGCTTACTCACGGTTATTAGCCAGGACACGCAGGATCTGCGAATTGAAGGGGGAGTTGAGAGGTGACGGCATGCAAATGGCCAGCGGCACAAGTAGACTGGAAAAAATGTAGCTTTTTTAATAAATAGATTGGACCAAATTTAACAAAATCTATTCAATGCGTTCTAGAATTTGAAATATTTTATGCTTTTAAACAAGTTTATTTAAAGAAATTTATTTTTATAATTTTATAGTTAATAGTTTTGAAAAAATATTAAATCACTATTCGTTGTTTAAGTTCAATGGACTTTTGGTTTTGTTGCACTTACACTATTGAAATAAATTTCTAGTATAATATTATAATTAAAAGTTCTGTCACATATTTAATCACTTTTCGTTGAAAAATTCCACAGATTTTCTTTTAGTACATAATGATAAGAATTCGTAGGACCAAGTTGTCTAGGTGAGGACTTTACTTTTTTTAGTGTATTGCTCAATTTCTGAAAAGTGTCAATCCTAGCTCGCTTTTTTGCACCTTGCCAGGATTGTCGAGTGCTCGAGTGAATCCTTGGGCCCACTCCATTGCCGATGTCCTGCTCTTGTCACTGTCACTCAGAGCTGACGTCAGCCTTCGAAATCCCCCGCCTTTATCCCTTTGGCCTGGCTTTTCTTTTGCCTTTTTTTGGCGCACATTTTATTTTACATAATTTGAACATTTAAGACGTGCCTGGGCATAGACAAGCGGCTTTAGTCTTAGTTTATGCAGGCCAGTCGAGTCGTGGGTCCTGCTCCTGTCCTGTCCATCTCGGGAAGAGCTGGTTCCACCCAATCGTGGGCGCAGTTTTCGTCTCATTTTATTATTAAAAGGCATTCGCATCCTTTACGCCCCAATGAGTTTTATGAGGACCTCTCGCCATCCCCGCAGGATAGTCGTTGGCCTGTCAATCCGGGATGTCTTCATCTTTTATATAGAAAATCAGGATGAGGGCTGAGCGCGTTTAGTGTTCGCAATTCACATTTGTATTTGTCAAAACTTGCACGTTTGCCGTTTGCTGTTTACTGTTTGCTCTTTTGGCCTGCAGAAATTTTACAGTTAACCCAAATTGTCGGCAATTTGGCCAAGATGCTGTTCAAAAGGCTCCTCTAACCAGGACTTACCATTTGATGATCCTTTCAATTCAATTGTTTGACAGTGGAAAGGGGCCTGCGTAAGTGATAGTAAAGAGCATCCATAACGCTTTTGATGGCTTCATATGGATTCGGATGTAGTGTAGGGGGAAGACATCGCAACAAAATCAAAGAAATAAATATATAAACGATGCTAATGTTTTATCGGTGGTAAAATTATTTTAAAGGGTATATTTTAAAACATTTATTGAGCTTGAATCAAAGTTAACTAAAATATTAATAACTA